TTTTTTTTTTTTTAGATTATATTTCTTTTTTGAAACAAAGCCGAGAAAGATTAAAATGAGCGAAAAGGAATGCGGAACTACCGCACGTAATGTGCGAATTAGTGCCTCATATAAATCAAACTAAACACTTACGCTTTGATAACAATCCATGTTATATAAGCTATTTATACATGTCTAATGGCTTCATTCTATGTTTATAAAACATTGTTTTGTAAAAGTAAAATCGACCGAGTTCAAGTTAAACAAAATAGAAAACACTGAGTTGACTTTAGCAACGCTTACCAGATTGACCTTCTCGATACCCATGTTATGTCGTTTTTCTTGTTGAAGTTCTTTTTTCTTTTCTTGTTTTTAGCGCTTGCTTTTCTCTTGGTAGAGTTTGAAGTAGAATGTGAGGCATCCATGACCTGGCTGTTCTTATATCCGTTAGTTCTTGTCGTATTTTCGTAGCCGTTTCTTCAAGGTGATGCAAAGTTCTAAATCAGCAAAGTTTTTCCCTTGCCTGTTGCTTACAGGAGGGAGTGATGTAGAGTCGGTAATACAACGGCTGTAACGGCTCACCGTTACTGATGTCTCATTCATCTTGATAACCTACTCATATTTCACGCATGACTTTCGACTAGAAACAAGTAACTAACTGTCAATCAAATCCAAAATGGCTTTGCTTGCCCGAAAGACAGTTTGCACGAACAAAATTCTTAAAGTAACTTTGAACAGCTTTCTCGCGCAACATGATAGATTTTATTTTCAACACAACTAAAACGACAAAAACTTTTTTCCGTTCAACACTCTTCAAAAATGACAAAAGTTTTGTCCCTCAAACGTATTGGCAAAGAAAACAAAAACATACACTTAGATTTGCTGAATATATCATTCGTTTGTTACAACAAGTTGTTTTGAACGAATTGGAAGCGGAAGTTTTCCAGTTCTTCTAAAAATATTGGATAAACAGAATGATATTTTAATATATTCGCGCATGAGGCAAAGTATAGGAGCAAATGCGTCATGTACTACGTCAATCGCTAAACAAAGATTGAAGCGTTGAGGATTAGTGACTTACAGACTTACTTTCACGCACAGAATATAAATATGCAAAAGATAGATAGATTATGTGAAAAATATTTACTATTGAATGAATGGATTATAATGAACGAATGAATGGATTAATGGATGGAATGGGTGTAGTCCTTTCCAATATTATCCTTAAATTCGTCACTATTACGCCGTTTATCTAAAGAGAAAGCGAATAGTTTTATATCCTAAAGTTCAAAAAAAAGTTCAAAAGGATCAGTACAATAAATATATCCGATATCTATTAGTAACCCTACACCAGATATCGAACTGGAATCGCGTTCAAAAGGTTCCGCTTAAAAGTAAATCGATATCTATTCGTAACTCTACCCCCGCTCCTTCAACCGTAATCGATACGCTTTCGTATCTTAACAACCATCGCGCTGTAAATAACAGCATTCGCTCGGATCTGAAAATAAATCGTTGAAACCTTTTCCGTTAGCGACGGGTTATAGCGTTGATTCGTTTGTTGGGAGAGGCAATTTTCAAAAATATACCCGGGCAAAATGAGTATTACGTTAAAAAGGTGCGGTGGGTTTCCACCTAAAAGAACAAGGGATAAAAAGTATATAAACAGATTTACATTTCATTTATTATCGACAATCCACGAGAACTATTAGAGAAGTACTGTGCTTAACATCAAATTAAAGTTGACCTGCACTGAGACAGAATACAAAAAGAATATAATGGGAAAGCATATTATAAAGGTATGTAGATTTGTTACCAATGTTATAACCGCTCGTATTGCAAACACACAAAAATGCAATTTTTTCAAACTCATTTTTCAAGTTCATATTATAATCCTAAAAATACCACACCTCAAAATATATGTCGCTAATAATTTTTTCAACTAATAATTTATTTGTTTTGTTTTGTTTTGTTTGTTTGTTGTTTTGTTTTTGTTTTGTTTTGTTTTGTTATTATTTGAATGATATTATCATTTTAGAAAGGGGTTATTTAAAGTAATTGTAGTACGTCAGTAAATTAAACCGTTTTGAAAAGATCTAGTCTTTTAAAGTCAGGTCAATTAATAGTTTTATTATTTATTTTTTTAATCTTTTATTCCAGGCATGCGTAGTAGCTCTAGTTTCTGCTTTCGTTTTCCTTCAAGCAACGGCTCGTTCCCATGGCAATTTGAGGTCATCCAATGTATCTCTTCCAGTGCATGCACAAAAAATAACCAATCCCGAGCAAGTAAAATCTAGGTCACGTGGTAACTTGACGTCAACGACAGGTACCTTTACCACGCATGCGCATAAGCAGCAACGAGTAACAAGGGGGAGTGAAGAAGACAGCAAAGAATTTCATTCTCATGTACATCGAAGAATGGCGAATAATCCCTGCATTAAGACATATGTACCAAATCTCGTTAACACCCAGCATTTCAGGGTGGAGTGCAGACCAAATGCTATACTAGGATGCTTTAATAACCTTGCAAATAAGCTCCATACTAAATGCCAGCCAGTCTATGTCTCGTATGGGAAAGTCATACTCATCCAAGACTGTAAATGTGTTAAATAGCCTGGAAAACCTGCAACTTCATCAAATATTTATTGATTATTGGGATCCCTGTGGTAGCTGGCTTCTGTCCGCAGGAACCCCGCGCGTGTTCTGTTATTTGTACTTTTATATTTTTATATCTATTTATCTTTTCATGAGTTATTTTCATCAGCAAATATTTATACTCTACTGTTATACTATTTGTTAAATCATGGAAAATTTGCAGAATATCAGTAATGATACTATGTGTCTTTAAGTAAAATGGATTAATTATTAAATGATATCATCGTGTATCGCATTCTTTGTCTTGGAAAAACCGAACATTTTGTTGATGAAAGGGAAATTCGAAGAAAAATGCTTTTTGATTTTCTATGTTTTTTAAAACAAACACAAAAAGAATGAATATTCTCTATTTTTAACATTTATTTCAGTGTCAAATTATTTTCTAATTTCGGTTTAAAAATGAAAGGAAATGGTTTATACGCGAGCCCGCCTTTGTCAGCGGTTTTTAATAAGAACCGGAAATGACATCATTTTTGCGTCGTTCAACCGGAAGTAAGCTGTTTGCAGCTTATGGTGCAATTATTTCGGAAGTTTTAGGAAGTCGTTAATTACATAGTTAAGTTGATGTTTGAGCTTTACTTATACCGCTTATCTACTTCTCCTCCAAGCCTCTGTAAGTTATGGTAATTCGTTAATAGGCTATTTTTGGACAAAGTTGAATAAATTAGGATGATCAACAGATAAAGGGTGGACAGACAGACAGACAGACAGACGGGCAGACAGACAGACAGACAGACAGACAGACAGACAGACTTTATAAGGACAGGGAAACGGAAAAAAGAAACTAGAGAAAAATGCAAAGACAGATAGACAGTGGATACTTTTTAAGGAGCAATTTCATCAAAGCAAAATAGCTGTACCCGAAAGTCACGTTTAACTTTCTCTTTATGGTACCTTTTACTGACTAGTCGACTGTCCAAAAGGAAAAAGGGATGGATGGGATGCGATGAGATGGAATGGAAAGAGATGGGATAGGATGGGATGGAGTGGAGTGGAATGGACAGGATAAAATGGTATACGATATGATAAGATGAGATGGGATGGGATGGGTGGTAGCCAGCTTCTCAAGCCCCCCCCCCCC